TAGCCAATTCTTAACAGATATTTCTCATCTGTACTGTACACAAGGCCAAAAAAAAGTGTTCTGTTTCCTGTAACGGATGGAAAATAGGGTAGGGTCGGTAGGTAGGTTTTTTGGGGGGTTTTCTTTTTTTTTTTTTTAATGTTACATTGTTCGATCTAGTAGATGTACCGTAGCATAATATTCTGTGCGAAAATCTTCAATTTTATGTTAGGTTGAGTCGGCTCCGAGGAACATGAAGCATGAATAGATTGGTGGATGGAATTCTTGGATAATTGTTTAAAATGTATCAGAGGCTAGATTATGATTTAAATATTCTCTTTGGGGGCAAATGGACTTTTTAATCGTTCTATGCTAAAAAAAAATAGCGTAGGGAGGCCATTTTGTTCAAGGGAAAGAATTTAAAAAATCATATCGTGCCGTCAAACGAAATAGGTCCGTAATAAATTTATTTGTCTTGTTTTAAATACCAATCGAGCAGATCCTATCCACCTGTTTGAAATATACGTTAGCTTGTTTTTGTCAAATTGCGTGCTGTTACTTTTTAGAACGAATGTTGTGAGGATTATGGCTTTTCGGAATGTGCAGTGTTAAATCTATACGAAACCTGTAGTCTTGATTTTCACGTCAGTTAGGGATCCCGCGTCAACAGTATGACAGTTCTTAATAATCGTTCGCTGTACAGTACTCGCTTATTCTGATCGATAAATGCAGATTCAAAGAACGATGACATTTATATCCATTTATAGCAACAAATAATAAAACCATTTTCACGAATCCAGTAGGCTTAGAGTATTTTGAACGGTCGCTCGTTGAACAAAAAAGTTTTTTTTATTTCCGTTGACACTAAAAAAAAAATTGAGTCGGCAGGTTTTGTAATGGGTCGGTCGGGTTACCGGAAAAATAACATTTTTTTTTTTTTGGTCTAATTCTGTTTTCTTAATATAGGGGGTGATGGAGAAATGGGTTTAACAAGTATGAGGTATCTGGTGGACAGGCAACCCTTACCTTCATTGGGCAAATGACCCTACTCCTTGTCACGTACAAGCTTGGGATCGAAACCACACCATTTGACTCAATCAAAGACAGACCTTATTATCTAAAGCGTGCACGTTAGTCTACTCAACCACAGCAACTCTCTAATTTTGGGAAACACAGTATGTAAGTGGCCGGGTTTTTGTGACCACTTCCTGCGAGCATTTGACCAAAAATTTAAGTAAACACATTTTATATACTCTGTGAAAAACCAGGAGATAAATGACTAACATACACACATGGAGAATAAACAGCATTTCAAAACCAGAAAAGAACATCTATAATCAAACGATATACTTTACAGGGCATAATTTAACATACAATGTTTTGCGGCACATTATGATGGTGCATATATTGACAAACCAAAAACATGAATATTATAATCTGATACACGATATTAAAAACAACAACATTAAGGGATTTATTTTTTAATGACTAACATGAATGACAAAAAAAGTCAAACAGTGGTCACTAAATTATTGTCTACTGGTCGTATTTCAGTGGTGTTTGGTACACCAAGTTATCTACTTAAGGGAGGCAACTCTTATTTACATCCCAAACAACTACATATTTCTGCATCTTTCTAAAGTTGACTTATTTATATATAGATCACTTGTAAAAATACAAAGAGAAATGTAGAATAACCATAAGGTTTAAATGTATAACTCTATATGTTATAATTTAACCTGATTATCAGACTATATAAATGGATTAGCCTCTTATCAAGGAGTGCCGACTGGTGCCATAGAATTAGAAAGATAATGTTGTTTTTTCTATAGTCTGTTTTTTACTTTTGTTGAGTCTCTTTTCAAGCTACTTTGCTTGTAAAAGAATAAATTAATAAATTTTCATAATTTGATGTAAATATCTATAATGCCAAACTAATCTTAAAATTTTCATTGGCATCAGAAATAACCTCACTGTGACAAAATTTGTATTTGGTTTTTAAATGAACATTATAAGTTATATTTAAGATAGGTTGCCAGGCAACAAAACATACGCCAACAGCAGCTAAATCGTCCGAGTAGTCGTCAAGGGTTGTCGCATATTTATTCCTTTGTACGTAATTGGGGGCCTTTACAAGACAGTTCCATACAGATCAGATTATAAATTTTGTTGTTTGAGGGTTTACAAGGTTCTACAAACTGAAACAAGGGTCTCAACTCTGGAAGTAATCTACAGAAATTGTTGAAATTTCACAGGCTTTTTCGTTTTACTAATTTAAATAATGCATATAAATTTCATACAGATCACATGATCCCTTTTGTCATTCAAACGTTCACAATCGCCATAACTCTAGAAATTATTGCCGGAAATTGCTGAAATTCAATAGACCTGTTTCACAAATTTAAATGATGCATATAAATTTCATACATATTGGATGATAACTATCACCAATCGAGCATTAACAAGGTTTAACAAAGTGAAACAAGGGCAATAACTCTAGGAGTAATTATTGTAAATTGCTGAAATTCAATAGGCTTTTTCGTTTCACTAATTTAAATCATGCATATAATTTCACAAAGATCGGGTGATAACTTTTTGCGTTAGAGCGTTCACAACGATCAATAAAGTGAAACAAGGGCCATAACTCTACACGTAATAAACGGAAAATGCTGAAATTCAATAGGATTCTCCGTTACACTAATCTACATAATGCATATAAATTTCAAAAAGATCGAATGATAACTTTTTGCGTTGGAGCGTTCACAAGGTTCAATAAAGTGAAACAAGGGGCATAACTCTAGACGTAATAAACGGAAATTGCTGAAATTCAATAGGCTTCTTCGTTTCACCAATTTATATAATGCATGTAAATTTCAGAAAGATCGGATGATAACTTTTGGAGTTTGAGCGTTCACAAGGTTCAATAAAGTGAAACAAGGGACATAACTCTAGTCGTAATAAACGGAAATAGCTGAAATTCAATAGGCTTCTTCGTTTCACCAATTTATATAATGCATGTAAATTTCAGAAAGATCGGATGATAACTTTTGGAGTTTGAGCGTTCACAAGGTTCAATAAAGTGAAACAAGGGACATAACTCTAGACGTAATAAACGGAAATAGCTGAAATTCAATAGGATTCTTTGTCTCACTAATTTAAATAATGCATATAATTTTCAGAAAGATCGAATGATAACTTTTGACGTTAGAGCGTACACAAGGATCAATAAAGTGAAACAAGGGCCATAACTCTAGACATAATAAACGGGAATTGCTGAAATTCAATAGGCTTCTTTGTTTCAGTAACCTAAATAATGCATATAAATTTCAGAAAGATCGGATGATAACTTTTGACGTGAGAGCATGCACAAGGATCAATAAAGTGAAACGAGGGCCATAACTCTAGACATAATAAACAGAAATTGCTGAAATTCCATAGGCTTCTTCGTTTGAGTAATCTAAATAATGCATATAAATTTCAGAAAGATCGGATGATAACTTTTGGCGTTAGAGCGTTCACAAGGTTCAACAAAGTGAAACAAGGGCCATAACTCTAGACGTAATAAACGGAAATTGCTGAAATTCAATAGGCTTCTTCCTTTCACTAATTTAAATAATGCATGTAATTTTCAGAAAGATCGGATGATAACTTTTGGAGTTAGAGCGTTCACAAGGTTCAATAAAGTGAAACAAGGGCCATAACTCTAGACGTAATAAACAGAAATTGTTGAAATTCAATAGGCTTCTTCATTTCACTAACTTAAATATTGCATATAAATTTCACAAAGATCGTATGTTAACTTATGGCATTAGAGCGTTCACAAGGTTCAACAAAGTGAAACAAGGGCCATAACTGTAGACGTAATAAACAGAAATTATTGAAATTAAATAGGCTGTTAACAGTTGAGCATTGGAATGAATGAACTCCAAAAAAGTTTTTATTTATTTTCCATTTATTATCTCCATATTTTCAGAAAGATCGGATGATAACTTTTGGAGTTAGAGCGTTCACAAGGTTCAATAAAGTGAAACAAGGGCCATAACTCTAGACGTAATAAACAGAAATTGTTGAAATTCAATAGGCTTCTTCATTTCACTAACTTAAATATTGCATATAAATTTCACAAAGATCGTATGTTAACTTATGGCATTAGAGCGTTCACAAGGTTCAACAAAGTGAAACAAGGGCCATAACTGTAGACGTAATAAACGGAAATTATTGAAATTAAATAGGCTGTTAACAGTTGAGCATTGGAATGAATGAACTCCAAAAAAGTTTTTATTTATTTTCCATTTATTATCTCCATATTTTCAGAAAGATCGGATGATAACTTTTGGAGTTAGAGCGTTCACAAGGTTCAATAAAGTGAAACAAGGGCCATAACTCTAGACGTAATAAACAGAAATTGTTGAAATTCAATAGGCTTCTTCATTTCACTAACTTAAATATTGCATATAAATTTCACAAAGATCGTATGTTAACTTATGGCATTAGAGCGTTCACAAGGTTCAACAAAGTGAAACAAGGGCCATAACTGTAGACGTAATAAACGGAAATTATTGAAATTAAATAGGCTTCTTCATCTCACTAATGTAAACAACATATATCAATTTTAAAACAATTGGATGATAACTTTTGGCGTTAGAGCGTTCACAAGGGGGCGACGGCAATATACGTCCACATTATATATACAATTATATATAGGCGTAAACATGGTGTATAAATATAAAATCAATCAGATGATAACTATGGTTTCTAGAGCATCCAAAAGATTTTTCAAAGTTATAAAGGGTCATAACTCTGGCAGTAATTATCGGAAATAGTTAAAAATCAATAGGTATCTTCGTCTCACTGTGTATAAATTTAAAGTCAATCAGATATTAACTTTAGCCTCTAGAGCATCCACAAGCAATTGTCGATGCAGGACCGACGACAATATACGACCACATTTCAATGTGGGCGTATAATGAATTTCAAGTCAATTGATATTGAACGATAAGGAACATAAAATATCAAAATACCTTTTGATGTTCTGTTCTTTCCTTTTTTCTTGAATGTTTGGACTTTGTTCTAGTCACATGTCTTTTTTCCTCTGCATATCTGTCAAAAAGAAAGTATCCCAAAAAATATTTGGAATTAATTTTTTTCACCCATGGAACAAAAAATCAAGGAACACCGAAACAAGCAGTTGCCATGCAAGATACGCCCACATTTTGCATGAGATGGACAGAGAATGAGCTAAAAAAAATAATTGATTTTTCATACAATCAGGGGCCATAATCCAGGAAGATACGCGCAAATATCTAAAGGAATCCAGATCTTTGGGACATAAACATAGATTTTAAGATTCATTAAAATTGGATAAAAACTGTGACCTCTAGAGGATCAACAACCTTGGTATTCCATACGTTTACACTATTTGCGTAGGTGGAGCGGCGAGCGCCCATTTTGTTGGGCAATTTCAGTTTGATTTTCACAAAATTCGAACTCAACAGTCATTATGGTGTAACAGTGATATATTAAAACCATTTTTTTTAAATAGAATACTGTTTAGGTAGGATCTATAGTACTGTACATGTAATAGGAAAAATAACTTATGGTTTATGACCTGCCACTTTAATATCTTGAGAGAAAAAACTGAGCCCATATTTTAATCACATGACTACCAACAGGAAGACATCACCTAACAATGTGCAGTAAAAAAAACATCTCAATCTCCGTTATCTGGCCTCCCAGACTCTTAAGTAAATTAGTTGAATACGTCTTATTGGCGGTATCAAGATCAGTTCATAAATTATAAATAAGATGAATTGATTAATCTAAACACTGATCTTTCTGATCATTACACCTTGACTCCATATACCAATTACATCTCTAATTCATATTTTCATGCTATTGTCAATCAGTGTTCCATATTAAAATTGATAATTAGTCAGACTTGGATAGTAATTAACTCATTTAAATCGTCAATGAACAGAGATCACCAACCAAATATTGTCTGCAATATCATCTTTGTTGAGAGCGGACATTAAGCCCTACAAGCGGTAAATGCATGAAAAAAGATGACAAAAAGTTTGTGAACATGATCAACGAGTAACATCTATTCCTTCAATAGCCGTGGAGGTGGATGGCTGAATGGTTAGCATGTGCGCCCGGAAACATAGGGTCTGTCATTGAGTCAACTGGTATGGTTTCGATTCCCTGTGACAAGGAGTAAGGTCACCTGTCCAACCTCTTGATTTTCTCCGGGTCCTCCAGTTTCCTCCCACTTCTAAAGATCCCTACGTGCAAACGAATTGTTGAAATAATATTGAATCGTGTGTTAATCTATTGTATATCTTTACAAAAATTGCAATACTTTTATTGGAAATAACTACTCGATAAATACTTCCGTGCTAATATTTTAAAAACAAAATTACACCATTAGGATAGTCGAATATACGAAGTTCACCAAAGTTGGCAATGCCTCTTTAAACCTTGGACTATTCTCATAATGTCAGATCCTGGAATATTTGATCCTGTTTCTAAAATATTTAAACTACTCTGCGTTAATCAATAAACCCACACATATCTACTCCGCAATCAGTAAAATTAATCCGATAAATACGTCTTGTTCAAAGCCAACTTTACAATATTTATGAGGTACATGCAAGATGTACATTTACCAAGAAACTAATTATCTTGGAAGTTTTTTAAAAATCCACAAACATGTCCTCTTTCTAAATGTTTGATTTGATACAATACATGTACATAGGGCCTACACTGTACCAAATGGGCATACTTGTTACTACTCACATCAAATTTACCCTTTTTTTCATATTATAGAAATAAGAAGAAAGACTGACACAAAATTTAGGTTGCCAGGCAATGAATGAAACATAGCCGCCAAGTCATCCAAGCAGTTCTTAAACCTTGTTGCATTCTAAAACTTTAGTTAAATAAGCACAATCTATTATTGTATAATATCAAAAGTTATTCTGAAAACTGATCAGGGCTAATAACTCTAGTTGATATCATCAAAAATTGCTGAAATTCAATACCCATGGACTTGATGTAAATAACATGTATAAAGATTGGATATCAATATATTCTGCTGAGTATTTACAAGAAATTGTAGATGAGGGACAGACAGACCAGGCGAATTCTCTACTTGGTATTCATGAGTTCAATCTCAATAATGTATATAGAGTGGGGTTGCTTCCCTTTCCTTATGGGTTTTCTCTGGATACTCTAGTTTTCCCTTTCGTAAGCAAATTATCAATATGCCATTTTAGTCCCAAAAGGACCTTGTTAGTGTGGATTGGATGTCTTGACACCTTAACTTTATTTCCCATTGACTGTAAAGCTAGTACCGACTTACCTATAATTATAATTAGGTGTCTCAGGCACCTTACTCATTTTGTATAAAGTACCAGAATTTCATCACTAAACCTTCAAAATCTGAAGAAAAAAAAAAAAAGTATTCACTAATGAGAAGCCATTGACAAAACAGATATCTGACCAAATTATTTTATATTGATGCTTGTCAAAAGTAAGGGGAGCTGTCCCCATACTTTCCACTTCAGAGTTCAGAATATTCATTTACTTCTACCATGCGAAATGGCATTCATGTATTTGACAAAAAGGAAGGGAAAGGGGCACATTTTTAATAGCGCAAAATTAATATGAAGTCTCTGATCTTCATTTGGGGCATTACGTACACAGTAACAGTGTATTTTCCTGTAATCTGATTAGTGATAATTTTTTCAATTTTACCTCGCTTACATTTGACAAAAAAGATTTTGATTATATCATATCAAATGTATCAACTGATTCTGATTATATCATAATATCAAATGTATCACCTGAAGTGTGAAAAAAAAAAGGATGTTTTAAAAAACTGTTATGCCTAATCATGTCATTATCCAGTTATATTTTTTTTTTTTTAAATGGGTTACATTCAGGGCTAACACTGGCTTTCAATTTTTTTCTGCCAAAATGGATCACAATTATTATATATAAAAAAACAGTTAATATTCTTTTTATGTCAACTAAAATATTATCTATTTGCCAAAAATGTATGACAAAAACAAAAAGTAATATAACATGTACAAATTTTGATCAAAATCAATATTTTCACTTGTTTCGTCTGTAGCTCATTATTAGACTTTGTGTATTCCGACTCATTTTGCCAGCACAGGTCACATATATATTGACTTTACTATTTATGGCACACCTTTCGAATTCGGTCTTTATTAGCCTGATTTGTGAAGAATCGCAATTTCATTTCATTTCCTTTTGTCTATTGGAGTTTAGGAAGCTGTTAATAATGTTTGCGTTAAGATTTGAATAATCGCCTTTTAAAGTGGATGTTAACAGTTGAGCATTGGAATGAATGAACTCCAAAAAAGTTTTTATTTATTTTCCATTTATTATCTCCATATTTGCTCAGTATGAAAAATTTATTTATTTTCCATTTATTATCTCCATATTTGCTCAGTATGAAAAATTTGATAAAGTTAATAAAATTATTGCTGCAGACCAGCAGATTCATCGTAAACTGTTCAGTGCACATCACTGTTGTAATCAGAGGTTGGCATTCACCATTTGAATTATTTACAAATGCAATTCACTACCAATCCAGTCCAACTTTACAAACATCAACGGTCCTTAAAGGAGCTAAGTCGCTAATATTTGGGACCTAGGAATTGACACAAATGGGTCGCAATAATATGAATGTATATAAACTGATTTACATTCAATCGTTTCCGTTTTTACTCTAATTTCAAATCAGTTATGTTCGGCAAAATACGCCAAAAGTCTCAATCGAATAGCAATCTCTAGCATCTGGTTATTCCAGTCTACACCGGTAGTATTTATTGCACATGCTCTCCAGATAAGAATATGACTACAGTTACCTTTGGGAACTCACAGGTTTTGGGGTTTTTTTGTAAACAATATTTTATTTCATTTGAAAATGGATAGGAGAACAGGCTAGGCCTATGTTGAGTCTTCTCACAGTTAGTTATCTTCCAGGCAAAATGACAGCATGGACCCATGACTTCACAATACCTTAACTGATTTGGCTTATGGTACATGAACGCTACACTCCCCTGGTTTTTGATTTTGAACTAGGTTAAATATAAGCCTGATCGACCTATAATACCAGGTATGCATGATAAAGTGTTCAGAGACGACTGTTGAATTTAAATCTACACTGAGAAGGCATATATTTTCATGATGTTTTATACACAACTTTCACTGAGTTATTACCACATTAAGAGCACATAGGCTTACCTTGGAATTGGATGGATTAAATGCCCTATAAATGCACACATTATTATCAATACAGTAATAGGTTGGAACGTCCTAGCTAGTGGTCTATCTGGCTGGTCACCCCTGGCTTGCAGTCACGGTTTCGATCCCTGGTTTGAGTGTATGTGACTTTGAGATAGGGAGCGTCTTCTCAACCTTTTGGGTTTACTCTGGTTTCCTCCCAAAGGAAAGAAAGAATGAAGAAAGAAATGGGGTTCAACTCGACACAAACTAGGCCATTTCGGGACCAACATATGGCTTAATTTTATTTCAAGAATTTGCTTCCGCGTAGGGATCTTTAGCAGTGGGAGGAAACCGAAGGACCCGGAGAAAACCCTCAAGGTTGGACAGGCGACCCTACTCCTTGTCATGTACACTCCCACAGGAATGTCCAGTGCCTGCGCTAAGATAGTAAAAATAAGACAACTTGTCTGGATATCACCTTCGGTGGAAGCAGGTGTTAAACACCACAAACAGTAGCAGTAATTATATTTGCAATGTAATTGAAATTGTCAGTCCTGGTATATGTTGTGATAAACATGATTTCTGGTTTAATTACGAATGTGTGAGAAAAATCTAAAAAGTAATTTTTGAGCCGAGTAGTTCTTTTAGTCAAACATATAATCAATTTGTGTATGGTTATGGTACGGTAACACTACAGTTGAAATGGTGTCACTTTAACGATATGACAACGATGAAATAATCTGGTTTCTGTCATGGGACACCGAATTTCAATACAATTGCAAGTAATATGCTTTTTATTCCTGGTTATGTGATTGGGGTAAAGGTATTTTGGAGGTTACACATTTTAGCAAGACAGAATCAATCAGTACGGTCTCCAAACTCTTGTCTGAGATTGTTTTCGTATGCATTTTCAATTTTCAGTAGCATAGTGTTCAAAACATACAATTCTATAATTTCTGAAAATATATTCAAGTATTGCATTTATTATCATTAAATAAAGTTTTTATTCGCTGTTCAGTGCATGCAACAACGTACGCGTTGACCGATCTTCATGATATGCTACAGAAGCACTTTGGCTACAAACTCAAATGGCAAAAATTTCAATAATCTTATCTTCTAACTGTGTTAAAAGTTATTAAAGCCTTAAATATAACCACACAGTTAATAAAATTAAACAGGCCATTGAGGTATCTGTTGAATGTATTAACAAGCTAACACGGGACATCAATAATCATTAATTATTGACAGTTTAAAAGATCTTACAATTTAACATCATCAACTATCGACTCCATCTTGTGACGTCATACTTCTCTGGTTCGTGAGGAGATCAGGTGTCCGTTGGATTACCATTTCCAATGCTTTTTACCAATAGATACGCTGTTTAGGGAGAATGTGAAATATCTGTTGTAAGGCAAATGAATCTGATTCGTTGATAATTAAAATAATCAAGGCCATGGCGCCCAGCATTAAACTACCCCCCAACCACAACTTCCCTTTCGATTATTTAAAAGTAAATAGATGCGGCTTCCGGAATTAGTGTTGTGGAACCATAAAGCATTGATTGGATTGAAAGGGCGTGTTTTTACTCATAAGTGTCGTTGAAAAGCATATCTTTGGACTATGGAATGACGTGGTGTCTCTATGTGTTGGACGGCGGAAAAGTGTACAGTGGAATCATTTCACAGACTACAATAATTCAGGAGAGTGAGGTAAGTATCTTCGGACATTTTCATTCATCATTTTGCCTAATGAGAATTGTCATATTCATCATTTGACAATTGCTACTGACAGTTTACTGTTATGTTGATAATTCATGCTTGACTGCAGTCAGCTGTTCTTATGCATACGTTTATAACACATTGAGAGTTATAGTATTGTTTGGAGCGCATGTGTTACAAGCAGACGATAAATTACATGTAGACTCTACATGTACATTACCGTAGAAGGGAGTGGAAATCTTCATAATCCTGATGTAAATGCTATGTTCATTCAATGTTTTCCCATCCCAGAGGCCTGAGGGGTATTGAAATGGGTACAATATGTTGCAAGCAATACAGCAAAATTTCTAGCAGCATATTATAAGTAGGCCTACCAGTATGCTTAACATTTGATTCATTTGGTATCAGTTTTAAAGTGTAGGCCTATATTATTAGTATTATTACTAACAGATAAAAACAGACAATGGTCTAGCTGGATAGTAAACATTCTGGTCAAACAGTGTCAAATGCTTCCGATAGGTCTAACATTCTTTCTTTGCTTGATAAAGACGAGAGAACCCTCATCGAAACATCACCAGAAAAAAATCTTTTAAGTACCGGTACATGATGTAACTTGTATTCCATATAATTGTGTCAGGTGTTAGGTCTAACAATTCAGGAAGCACCATAGGCTACACAGTTTGGGCTATACAGGATGTACGTGTGAAGGCTACACAATTTTGTCTATCATTAGACGAAAACATTTTGAATTCTTAAATAAGGCTATTTACGGTAAGCTGTTTTTATATTGGTATTACATTTATTTTTTAAACTATCTTTATTTATTATAGTGGCAAAGGTCTCTTTTTTGTTATTTAAAAATATATTGTGCCCAAGCCAAACTACATGTGTAGGTACATCATAACATGTACCTTACCAAACCATGAATCATGATAAATGAGATTGGTACCGGTGTGACAGTGTGAGATGGTTCCTAACATATAAAGTTGCGACAACTGTGAAGCCAAAAATTTCATATGACGTCAAGTGTACAAAGATCCATCTTGGGTCCCAAGTATTTGTAACTACATGTACTCACTATCTATTTTATGTCCTATCATACTGTTGTGACGAAGTTGGCTACCCCCGGCAGGGATGTAGATAGATATGTCATAGAATTCCACGAAAAGGATATAAAATATACATTTTTTAAACGAAAAGTATATCTGAACAAACTATTATTATTATTATTATTATTATACAACAAAGCGCACATTATTGTTATAATGATACGGTCTAATTCATAAGGAAATGAAATGAAAGATACACCATATAAAAGCGCTATTAAATATATTTAACTTGCATACGCTTTTAAAAATCAGATTTTTTGTGCAGACGGGTAAAGTGAAAAATTAAAATTTAAATAGTAATTTGGGAGATAAAACCTTTTTGCCTTCTAACCGGCACAATAAATGCCTGAAATTCCATGATTTTTTGGTCTGGAGCCATTCCGGATTCGGTCATCGATCATTAATTGTATCATCAATTTCTTTAAATTGACCAATGGATAAAACATTTAAAATCAATGTAACTTAAAATCAGTGTAATTTAAATAAAAGGTGTCTAGCGTGACATGTGTTCGGGCATATGTTTCATCAGTGACATGTGATACGAGATATAGCTCTCAGCACAAATTTAACAGATACAAATAATGTACACTGTACATGTTATTCCACAGGTAGACAGACATTGAAGGGGCCCAGGGAAGGAGACACAGTTGCTTTAGAGTTTGACTCCTTTGGGTATTTGTGCCCCATTTCCAATGAAATAATCATGTTGTTCTGATGCTCAACTAGTATCAAATATACATGTATATCGTGCTTGAGATTTGTTACAAATCGCCTCGAGCATGTTTCACACATCTCAACATTTATCAGCTTTTTGTTCAATCGATGAAAGCCTACATTTCTACAAAATATTTTGTTTAGTCAAGTGAAACAAGAAAATGTATGGGCTAAATGGAAAAAAAGAACACATACACCTTAATGTCGACAAATAAGTAAAACTATGCAAATAAGATATTTCTATGATATGATTCAACCGAAAGGTCCTATACAGTAGAATCTGTATGAGCAGCCACTCCTATTCAGCGACATCTCCTTGTAAGCGGTCACGATAAATTCCCCCCGTAACAATTCTATTGTTTCAGTTCTTTATTCAACGGTCACTCCTCTAACGCGGCCAGCGGTCACTATTTTACTAATAAATTCAACAAAACATCGCCCATTCAACGGCCATTGTTGAATGATACCATTTTGTCATTCTTTGTAACACCCCCGCTAATCCCGTGAGTAGTAGTAGTTAATTAACTGGACCCCCACTGATCAGGTAAAAAGAAAGGTAAAAATAACAATCAACCCGGGATTATCTGTTAATTAATCTTTTGTATTATTAAACGACTAACCTGATCATTGTTTTCACGCGTAACGACACATTATTTGATACTGATTGAATAAAATAAAAGTACCGAGTTTTGTCACGATCATCTTGTATCTCTTTTCCATTGCCACTTTGTTGTTAAACAGACATTTTAGCGCCTCCTATAATATTACATACAGAGTTACACCCCCTGTAAATAGGTGATAAAATCAGCGATGTTTTTATGTTTGTGTTGCTTTTTTGATAAAATAAAATTAATTCATCGATTTTCTTCACAAAAATGGATAAATATTATCGAATGCATCACAATGGTAGACAGTGGTATCGAAGGTTGGTACAATATGACAAGTTTACAGAGGTTATGTAGAGTCTGAGACTTGAGTATAGAATTCTCGTCTGGCGCAAGATTCAGCGACGGTCAAATTTACCGATGCAAGTATTGATGTTCGCTTCCATTGCATCCAAGCGTAATATTTAATTTATTTCAGCACAAAAAGCACTCCCATTAAGCGGTCAATCGTGAAAATTCCCTTGGGTGGCTGCTTAATGCAAATTCTACTGTATATGCATGTTATTTAAGAAAAGATCAACAAACAATTACTTGAATTAAAATTGAATTTATTGGCAATGATATGGCACAGCTGAGCGAGTTTAATTATTATTATGTTTGACAGCCATTAAACTAGTTTGGTGTGTCCCATGTCCATAACCATCGTGTCCATCCATAAATGCTGAAGCCTTCATAGCATACCAAGTTTTAAATTCCAAACACTAAAACACCAATAATTACCAATTTTGAACACATTAACATATATACACAGTTAAGTGATCCTGAGGCGTGACAGGGAATCACTTTGACGTGATCCTGAGAATCAGGGAATCAAGCCAGGAAAGTTTTCTAATTGTGTTGCTTGTTATACGCCATATGATTCCGATAATGGGCATGTAATGTCCGAATTGGGATCACCGCCATGATGAGGAATCAGATACGCTTCATAATGTGGGACGAAAGCAACACAGAGCTGAGCTGGCCATATCAAGAATTACATTTTGTCCATACAAACATCAAATATTAAAATGGATAAACATTTCCATTAGCCAAGTAAAAATGCTCCAAAGCACCTTGAAGTGTATTAATGAATACTGTTACCAATATCAAAAAGATGAATGCTGTCACTTTGGAATAAGTGACTAATGCCAAATTTTATATCTGGATATCTTATGTATGCGCCACCTAATTCCAGTATTCTTTTGGCTACAAAATTATTAAGTCTGGACCTTTGTTTTGATAAGGCCTTAGCATCTACCAGAAATTTTTGGGGTAGGATTTGCGACCACACTATGAATGTACATGTATTTGGAAACCTATTTATAATAAATTGAAATGTTGTCCTTATTTTTCTACGGAAATCTGCAACATTTAATGTTCCAAGATCATTACCCCCGCAGTGAATAACCAGTATATCTGGTGGTGTTGATTCTATTGTAAGTAGGAATGTCAGCTTTTGTTCAAGGTCTTTAAATTTAAGACCATTGTAACACTGCCACCAAATATTCATATTCAACCAATCTAATCCAAGGTTTAAGCCACCAGGCCTTGTATGGGCTTAAATGGCAGCCTTTTTCATGATAGACGACCCAACACACCAGATTCTTACGTGGCTTTTACCTGAAATTTTCAAATTAAAATGATAGTATATTAGCCGTGGGGATTCTAATGTAGGATTTGAAGGCTTTGGACTTCCACCTTCCTGCACTTTGAATGGTTTCTTTGGTGTGACCGGCAATAGATGCAGCCCTAATTGCCTCAAACATTTGTTTAAAACACTCGTGAATTGACATCTTGTCAGGGGCTTAGTGTCGAGGTGACAGAAAAGGTGACCGTTAAATTTAGGTCTTGATTTCAAAAATTCAAACATATAAAACCAAGGACAAAATGTACCATTTGCTTTTGGAATTTTTATTTTTGTCCCCCGACTAATTGTCCCCCGCCTTTCGAAGAAAGCAGGGGACTATTAAAATGATCTGTCTGTCCGTCAGACTTTTTTTTGACACAATAACTCTCTTTCTAATTGAGCTAGAATGTTCAAACTTGGTGTAGGAGTTTGTTAAAGGACAATATTGGTGTCAGTCATTATCACATATGTGATTGAACTAATTAAAGATACATTATGGAAGATTTTTATAGAGAGTTGGCCATTCTTGCTATAACAGTTCAAAAGTAGATGATGAAAGAAGAATACATGTATATTGAAAAATTCAGTCAAATTACTTTATTCTGAACATAGTTATCATCGTTGTAATATTTGCCTAGAAATGGTAGCGAAATGTGTCTTCACCTTCGCCGATCGTTTGATTGACAGGCGTTAACTCCACCTACATATCTCAATTATCAAGTAAAGTTTTCAATGGCATATGGAAACGCTTTACAGCGGCCTCGCTAAGTACACTCTATCGTTTAGCCTTGATCTAACTGACGTATTTTCATCAGGTTACCCCTTATTTGATTTAATCAACTAGTGAAATCCTGTTTAAATCCGAGCTGTAGCCGAGCCATCCGTGGGTCTACAGAGTTGATTTTGGTCTTGTTGTTTAAATAAAGATCTAATTTATAATTTCTATAAAATCTGAAGCCTAAATTAAGACTTGCAATAATCAGATTTAGCTCTTGCATAATGCATGTTTAAACAAGTTCCAAATATAATTTTAACACAAAGATCATTGCTACGATAGTTGAGTAATACAGGTTACCTGAATCGGAAGTGACGAACGCCAAAGGAAAACACGAGTCATACCTCTACATGTATATAACTGACTGATGTGACGAGTGATAACAGATACACAGCCGAATTTCTGCCCACTAATAATTCCTTCCATGAATAAAACATTTCAAGAAATCCTTAAGATTAAGAATTACCCATCAAACCCTTTCTGGCCCGACGGGATTCTCATGTCCCATCATATAGTAAATACAATGTTACAATGCATATGTGTATTATGATTAGTATTTCATCATAAGACAGTTTTAGGTAGGTCTAAGGTCGGGTTGAAGTAGTGCAGTCTTAATGCAAATAAAATTGTAGAGTGGCATTTCATTGCCAAACACAAAATCATGGTGATGTTTTTGTAAGAAAATCTTTGTGCATGTTTGAAGACACAGAGAAAGTTCAAAGTAAGTAAAATGATTGTAATTGAATTTTATATCATTGGAAAGAACATGACAATCTGTACATTTTTGTAACAGAGTATTTCTATGTATTAAAAAAAATATATTTTTAGTTATTTGCAATTTTGTAGAGGGTATTAGGATTAACAATAATCCACTAATTGGCTTAGGGAGATGGGCCCTGCTGATTTAATTACTTAGGGGTAGGGTAGCTAATCTTTTAATTGGCTCAGGGTTAAACTGAAATATACGGGTGGCAAATAAAACACGCAGTTGGAAGTGCAATATATCAGTAGGAAATGAAATATACGAGTGACAAATAAAAAATATGGGTCGCAGATAAAACATGCGGCACATTTCAATAGGCCCTTGCTGTTTTCACTCGACAGGAATGAAATTGGATTAAGTTTGTATTTTATCTACTTTGTGATCAACAAAAGTGCAAATGAAAATGCATTTTTTCAATGTTGATTAGTAAGATACAAAATTTCATAGAATACGAAACTTGTCACATGTATGCTACTTCCATCTACACACGATGTCAGTTTCTCTGTCTTTCGCTTCTCCATGAACGAAGGTGTTTGTTTACATTGTGAAGCTTCAAATGACAATTAAAAAGGGGTTCTGGGTCTGTATTTTCAATAAAAGCACTAACAATCTAAAATGAATGTATTAATTTAGTTTAATTAATGTGATGATTGGTTTGGTTCTGCTTCAGCTCATACAAACTATGTACATGTATATTTCAGTAGCATTTATTAATAGAACTCTATATAGTGAGGGGGTGCGGGGGGGCTACATATATAGATTTCTATGGAATACAATTACCATTCTGTTTGTTGCTGTTGACAATAACTGATACCATTATCTTGCAATTATCAAGCAAATGATGCATGTACAATTATAAAAACTGATGGTATATATATATATATATACTATAAGTACATGTAAACAATTATATAGAACGATCAGAGATGGGGATCTTGTTATAAAAAATTGAGATACATGTACTGGTAATGCTAAAAAGTGTTTGATATTTGGAAAAAATACAATCTGATTAAAATACAGATCTTGATTTCGTTTCATTTTTTTTTTGTATTTTTGATGACACTACTTCAACCAGAACGTCAGTAATATAAGAACTCTTCCAGATCCTAGTGTAGTAACGCCAAGTAAAATGAAATTTGAAGCTATAAAAAAAGAAACAAAATAGGATCTGTGTTTTAATCAGATTGGAAAAAATATTTTGCTATTCTGAGGTAAACAAAATATACTTACATGTACATGTATGTCAAATTAAGCGAAAGCCCTGATCAGAGATAATGTACATGTATATATATATATATATGGCACAAATTCCCTTGAGGATAACCTAAATTTACTGATAGAAATAACCAGCAAGCATTTCTGGATGTCTGTGTCTTTAATGTTAGCTGCTGTATCAATCTAATCAAACCATCATAATACAATGTACATGTAATCTTAACTCCGAACTAACATGCCAAAAGGATACGTGATCTTGAGCCTGTCTCTTAACATGTCTCTCAGTAATAACAAGTAATTGTAACATATTTCATAGAATTGTGTCTTTTCAACAGAAACACTATACCCAGTCCCAGAGTACGTATATGTCGAAGATTGTGAATCTTAGTTTGAAATTATTAAAACACAGATAATCAAAAAATGACATTTTCTTACAGTTGTATGACCAGATCACATAATATAGTATTCATTGGGTCATGTCTCATGTCAAGAGATAGTTTGTTAATTAAATGGATAACTTTTTATTGTTTATTAATTAGTCATATCTTTAGTTTTAATCCTGCATAGAATTGATTTGGATGTAGACTCTTGAGCCTTATATCCATTAATTAATAGAATGTAAAAAGATAGTGTACATTGATGGGCAATTGTTTGCAATATCATTATTGTAATGTAGAGTCAGACAGTCAATTATATGTGCTGGGTATTGTCACTGCAGCCATATTGTGATTGAGGTGCTATGATACAATTTGTATCACGATTCATGTACCGGTAGGTCAATATTTACAAAGAAAACAACAGGACAAATTAATAATTGATATTTTTAGTCCTGCCGATGTCAAAGAAATACAACTGTTTTTATATCACGAAATTGATGTGGATCAAAATAAGGACCAATACTATTTAAGAGTGTTTGTTTACATGTACCTATGGATAATATTTGACTTGAATAATGAAAGAGTGATCATGATCAGAAACCCGCCTAATCTACAACACCCAATACATGTAAGTTAATGGCTTCAACTCTGGGACTAAATTCTTACGCTATAGTTCTTTGCAAATATATATCTTAAAGGATGTGACTGTTGGTTGATTATCTTGTTATTTGATTTTGACTCTGGAATAAAATAAACCCTGAGGCTAATGCAAGTACCGGGTCATATTTATTATTTATGCGACTTGTTATGTATTCATTCGCCAAGTGAACACGTTTTTATACATTGTACTAGTAAAATATACGGTACCTTACTCCTGGGATATAAACGATAAAGATTTCCTTAATTTCGACAGAACGTAGTTTACATGTACGTGCACATGTAGATCTATTACTGATCATAAAACATACAAACATTTGTTCAGCGGAAATATGTTAAGTTGTTCTCTGGACGTAGAAAAGTAGAACTCATAAATGCTGTAAATAGACCTTCATGGACATCAGTAAAAATACAAATTTTTGAAATGCTTTGAGAAATAATTACACTGCCAGTACTGAAAAACTCTATGAAATGTTAGCTATTTCCTAGCGTGAAAAATGTCCAACACGAAAACTTTACGCCATCAATAAGTGTGAACATTTGGTTATGCTTCGAGAAATAACAAGATATAAAAGCCAATTAAACACTTGTAAATTTCTAGTTCGAAATCATGGCAAAATATGGTGGATTCCATGAGAATCGCATCGAAAAATTAATCCTAATTTCACAGTGGTTTTTATTTTTGCTTGTTTAAGCATTTTTGGATCCAAAAATTTGAAATGAACTGTAGATTATATTAGCTTTCGATTACCAGTATTTGTTAAATCAAATGTTATTATGAATATGGAACTGATTGTATCATTGAAATGCTATTCTTTACAATGTAGGTCTCCACCATTTCATACATTTTTTTTAGACTGTACTATAATCTTTTTTTACTGAAAGTTTAATGTATAGTATCAATTTGAAATTAAAAGTGTGTGTTTAATTCTTTCTGACAACCAGACAATGGTATATATTTCATGGTTTATTCCTGTGTCGCAAATGGTTTACAAATGTTGCCAAATCCTTTTGAAGTTTCTGAAAACAAATATAGGTTTTGCTATGTAGATAAATAGCGACAGTTTACATATGGAAATATCATACACATGTATTCTACATGTATTTAAGATCAGTAACAGTTCTGTTTTCAATAAAACTGGTATTTTGTGGTGTTCTTGCTAAATAGTCAATTGTGTACTGTACAAAACAGTAAAAATTTGTAAGCTATTTAATCATGGCATATGGTTATAAATTTTACAGTACGGTGTTACCATTTATGTTTTCTGTCATTTATTATTAATAATTGATAAAACCAATTAAAGATTAGTTACATGTAAAAGCCCACAGAAAAATAAAAATTTCAAATCATTAGACCCAGCTCGTAGAGTAGAATTATGTTAATCTATACCTGTAGAACCTTTATTGTACCCCATCATACCCGTCTCTATCCTGCATGTATCCCTATTGTGATTTCTCAGCAAAAAAAAAAAAAAAAATGCAGATAAATATAGAACAATGCAAACACAATGCAACAGTGAGGGGGATGTCCCTCTCCTTAATCTCCAAATAATAGATGACACTTATTGAGTACTTGTACATTTCTATTTTTGCTTATCACTCTGCTTAAACTTAAGTAGAAAATGCTCATTATCGAACTTAGTCAAGGTACACCAAGTTTGATCACCCATTTTTTGTCTTCCAAAGATAGCATCAACAAATAAAATTGAATATCCCTGCTGATCGAGATTAAGCAGAAATTGCTCATCAAACACTGTCAAGCCATTCCCATGATGAACAATTATACTAGGTTTGAATATTCTTCACAAATAAGCAGAGTTATTGACCTATCAAATTGCTTATTTTGTTTAGTCGTTGCAGAAAATGCTCATCATAGAGCACTAAGTTTGAACATTCTTCATACATGTACCTCAGTTAAAAGTAGAGTTACATGTATTGGTATGCAAAAGGTGTTACAGAGGAATCCATTTCAATATTTCAATAGTCTCCAGCGTTTTCCGGGGGGGGGGGGGGGGGGGGGGGGGGTGTACTGTAAAATTGGTATCGGTTTGTTGCCAAGGGCTTATTAATTACACTATTTCTGTTCTTACATGTAGTTGTATGCACATATATTATTATGTACATGTGAATGATGAGTAACAATTTGAAACATTCAGTTTTTTTGACAAATTAAAGGGAGCCATGGTGACTCGATGTGTATGGTACTGGTTCACTAACTAAGAGGTCCTGGTTTTATTAAGGTGTTGGCGTAGAAAGTTCCCCAGGGTTTCTCTGTCTGGTTTTCACTTTTCAGCAGTAGAGGAGCAAAACTGCAGACAAAATATAAAAACACAACGTCCATCACAAGTTTATCTTTTGATAACCCTGGCTAAGCTGCACTCAAAGAAGTTTTACTTTTTCTTTTATATACACCAACATTTCAGTGTGGGAGTATTATGCCGTCAACAATTGGCTTTATTATGTCATTTTGCAATCTACGATACTTGTTGGATGTCATGTACAATGTACGTACATGTACATTGTACATAACAAGCCTACCGCCATCTTGATACATATTAGCATTAGCGTAGGCTTAATTATACCATCAGAAATTTGATATTTTCAATAAATAGAAATCACGCACAGTTACTTCAACCAATAAAAAAGATGCATCATTGAAAGATTTCATGAATAAGATAAATTCAACTCCTTAATGTGTACCTTTTCAGACTCGGTTCAAATAATTGTATTATCTTTATTCTATGCATCTTTATTCTATCTTAATAAATTGTGATCTGTTGTACATACAAGTATATTTTGTATAAATAATTCATAATAAGATCTTGTCAATTGATTTAGTATAAAGAGTATGAGATAATAACAGTCCGCCAATGTTGTGATGATTAAAGCTGGCATTAATGGCCTAATAAATAATTAATCCAGAGGCCAGATATATTATGTTTGTATCCGCTGTATTGTCACATTATAAAGTTGTATGGATTGCAAAAAATACCATAACTCAGTGAATTCCAGAAGACACTCAGTTCTCGGAGGAAGGATTTCAAGTCTGAAGGTGAGGAATTTTAGTCCCAATGGGTGAATTAAAGGAGGTTTTTTTTAGTGGGGGGGAGGGTTGGGGGTAAAACTCAAACTGTTATCGTCAAAAAATAGCATTCCGTACATGTATGTATGTATATATAGGCCTATTTATATCAATGAAATACCAATGTATACATGTATCAATGAAATAGCGATATACAGGTACACAACTATAATGGCGATTGCTTCAAACTTAATCTTGTTTTAATCTATTAACTTTTTGCGGTTTGAAAAGCCAAATCTATCTGGAGCCATTTCGCTATTGATTTCAGGCTTCCCAGTAACCCTGTAAATTTTGTTTTCAAAAAATTTCTCTCCAAAGTTACAGGCAAAGGAATCCTAGTGTAGCATGTGAAAATAAATATGGCCTGGATAATCATGGCTGCTTTTCATTGCTTGGATCGCCAAACCTGACATCGCAAAAAAACATAAATTTTAAAAGGAGACACAAAAATTGATTGAAACTAAAAGTTTGAGAAATAGTGACTAATTTTAAAATAGTTGCTTTAGACTAGTCGATATAATGTTTATACATGCACAATCTGAAACCCAAATCCTTGAGAATATGTTTGCTTATCTAAGTGTGACATGGGAAGTTTTATAATGAAAATATTCATTTACACACGTACATGTAAATCTTTATTTAGAAATAGTGACTAATTTTTAAATAGTTGCTTCAAATCCGCTGTGATATTTATACAGTTGAGAATTTGTTTACTTATATAAATCTAAGTGTTGTGGGAAGTTTTATAATGAAAATATGAACATATACACATGTAATCTTAGAAAAAAATACTCTCGGAATTCCTGTCCTTTTCATGATCATGGTCAATAATTGTGCCTAGATTGTAGGTCTTTTCTTTTTTTTCGCTTCAGGTGTTATATACATGTATAAAACCATATTATTTAGATATTTATCGACATTAACCTACTTTCCTTGTATACAATTCATTTTTTATCTGTGGCTATATTTTTATTTTCATAAAACCTTTCCTTTTCTATGTCATTGCATAAGCTCAGTCAAATATCAATCAGGTATGAATAATAGGCCATGC